GTAGTAAATGCTGTGCGCTGCTGTAACTGGGGCACAGATCCAGCGAGACGCAAGTCTGAAGGTACTCGAGAGGCATCTGGGACCTGCTTTCTTGCAAGATGTCTTGACAGTCTGCTTTGGATAGTTTTCTTCTTTCTCATAAATGTGTGGAGAATTGATGAGCTGTCTGATCTCTGAACAGGGTTAGGGCAAAATGATGGTAAGGTCAGCAGCTAAAAGAGCCTTCTCCTGAATGGTTTTCTCATTCTTTGGAAAGTGTGGCCCACTGTCACTGTGCATGTCTTCCGTCTTCCCCGCAGTTTTTAAACCACAATGATTCTTGTTCCCCTTGCAAAGCTATCCTCTGCTTAGTGCAGACTCCTGCTTCTCTGTCCTAGGAGTAGGAGTGTGCCTGGGTGTAATAGGGGACTCTGCCTCGCTGTTTCAACTTGGGCATAATGAATAGACATTTGAGGTATTTCAAACAGTGTTGCTGCATGGGCTCTTGCCTGGGGGCTATTGTGCGTCTCCTCTTGTGTAGTTTGTGACCACAGTGTTCCTTATTAGTTTTATGACATACATATATTGAAAAGCACATGGAAGGAAGGAATTCAGTGTGTTGCTGTTACCCATTCACATCTGGAACACTTTTATTTCATAGCCTTCACATGTATCTTCTGTACTCAGGTTTTTGTTATTATGAGAGCTGTGTAGGAGTCTTCAAGAGAGAATTTTTTATCAGAACGATATTTCGAAGGGCAGAAAGATAGGATTTCTTATTGTTTGTTTCCGTGGGACTACCGACTGTATCTTTATAAAAACAAAACTCTCAACTTGCCGTAAGACTTGGCTTCCTCAGTTGTATTTGTCCACACAACTTGCCGTTAAGACGTGACCTCGTTGGTTGTATATGTCCACAGGGGATTCTGCTAATAAGTCCTGGATGTTCTTAGATGATGGGCTGCCTCTTACGTAATGTTTGGGTCTGAGTCTGAAACAAACAACAAAAACACTTAGAAACTACAAATTTTTGGAGACAGACCAATAATTGTTATGAAACACAGGTATTTGTTAGTAATGTTTGTCCTATGCATGGCTTTGACCATTTGAGGACGTCTAGCACTAAAAAGCACACACGCTAACTTACGTGTTTTTAGGTCTTCCCACAATATTCTTGCTAGAAAAATAATTTCCTTTTCTTACTGCTTTTCAGTGTTTAATGTTTGTGATCCAAAGTAGGGACAGATCTTTCATTTTAAGCTCCCAAATCATTGTATTATTTTGGCATTTTATAAGTTTAAATTTCCCAGCCATTTTGTCAAGCACATGAGGCCTTTGGTGTGTAGTTATTTCAGGGTGTGTTACAGCCATCTCAGTCCTGACTCGGTTGACCAGCACTTCTGAGTTTGCTTTGGGTGACTGGTGGACCAGCGACTGGCTCGAGTAGATCCCACAACACCTCAGCTCTTCCACTCAGAGGATGAGTCGGCGTCCTCCCCTGGAGGTTATTTCCATTCTGCACGGCCACTCAGTGTGGTAGTGGCACTTGCCGCCAGCAGTGAGCATGGGAGGGTTTCACAGCCTACGCTAGTTTTGACCACATTCTCTTTCTCTCTCTCACTCTCACACACTCACATGCTCTTTTTCTCTTTCCTTCCCTCTCCCTGATCCACCTTCCTTCTTTCCTGAAAATAAAATAACCTTTGTAGTTAAAAAACAAACGAACAGACCTGTCTCTTGAGATGGCCATTACAAGGCTTCCGAGCAGATCAGTTCTCACCGACCCATTCTTGGGGTGAGCAGGCTTCTTCTGGGTTGCTCCACTTACGTTTTGTATCCATTTTTTCTCTTTGTCTTATTTTCGTACTTTATTTTGCTGATGCTGTAAACACCTTTGTATGATAATCTACATCCTTTGCTCCAATAAAATGGAGGATAAATCTCTCCTCTTAATTATATAAAACATATTCCATTGTACTAAAAGTAGTGTTTCTGTAGTTTTTTTTATTTTTTGTTTGTTTTTGGCCAGTTATTTTTCTGTTTAAACAGCATACATCTTTAGCTTTGAACACTCTTCTCTATTAGTAAATAAGAAAACACAACCCTCAAAGCACAACAGCCCTGCTGTGTGGTGGGCACTTGGGCAGAGCTGAAGGACGTCCCAGAAAGAGAGCTGTAGTGGAGACACACAGTAGTCCTAGGAGACCTTCTGCAGCCTCGATTTGCATGATGGCTCACCACTTTTCTTCTCAGCTCACATTTCTCGAGAACTCACTGTGAACAAGGCAGTGCTTTGCGGGTGTCCTAGCCATCTGATCCTCAGACAACCCCATCAGACACATGCTGCTTTTGTCTCCATTTTATATGAGAAATCTGAGGAAGGGGGTGGAGACTAAGCTTGAACTGTTATGCCATTGTACCTGGCTGTGTGAACATTGGTTGTCTCTTCTATACAATGGAGATAGTATAACTAATCACACATTAAAATAATTCTTATCACCCATGTTGTTGGACTTGCTTGTGAATGTTAGGATCCTCGTTTGTTGTTAGGTGCTCTTGAGTCAGCTCTGACTCACAGCGACCCTGCGGACAACAGAATGAAACACTGCCCGATCCTGCGCCATCCTCACAGTTGTTGCTGTGCTTAAGCCTGTCGTTGCAGCCACTGTATCAGCCCATGTCATTGAGGGTCTTCCTTTTTCTCACTGACCCTCTGCTTTACCAAGGATGATACGTCCTTCCCCAGGGACTGGTCCCTCCTGATAGCATGTCCAAAGTACATGAGACGAAATCTTGCCAACCTCCCTGCGAAGGGAGCATTCTAACTAAGATAGATCTGTTCGTTCTTTGGCAGTGCATGGTATAGGCTGTATTCGTCGCCAACAATAATCCAGATTATTGGATAAGTTTTCCTTATTTCTTGTCCAGCTTTCACATGCATATGATGTGACTGAAAATTCCAATTTTTTGCGTCATGTGCACATGTTTGCTTTTTAACTCTTTGAAGAGGTCTCTTGCAGTAGATTTGCCTGGTGCAATATGTGTTTGATTTCTTGACTTGTGCTTCCGTGGACGTTTTGTGGAGCCAAATAGAATGAAATCCTTGACAACTTCAGTCTTTTCTCTGTTGATCATGATGTTGTTTATTGGTCCAGTTGTGAGGATTTTTGTTCTCTTTATTTTACGATGTAATCCATGAAAGGGTAAGGGCCCATCATTGCTGTTCTAGAATTTAGTTCCCTTTATTATGGTATAGTGGTTAAGGCATTTGGCTTCTAACCACAAGATTGGTGGTTTGGACCCACCAGCCACTCCACGGAAGAAAGAGGAGGCAGTCTGCTTCTGTAAAGATTAACAGCCATGGAAACCCAATGGGAGTTGCTGCGAATCGGAGTTGACTTGATGGCAGTGAGTTTGGAGTTTGAGTTCCTAATCTTTGCTTTTTTTCAACAGGTTGTTAAGAGAGAGGACATTCAGCAGTTCTTTGAAGAATTTCAGTCCAAAAAGAGAAGAAGAGTAGATGGGATGCAGTATTATTGCAGCTAGACGGCAAGGTGGAGCCTTCTCTCTTGGGCCAATGAAAATGCCACTTGTTATCCCAGGAATAAAAAGGCATCTTCCACAGTTGGTCCCTTTCCATCCTCCTCCCTTTCGAGAGACCTCCTCCCCTAGCCTTGTGTCCCTCTTTCCCCTTCACTGCAGAAGCCACAGTGTGTGTGCTGATTTCACAACCAGCCTTCTGTCTGGCTCAGCCAAGTGCAACTCATTCCACAGACTTCAGTCCCACCCAGCATACCCAGGGAGATTTGCTACTCAGTTTTAAGAAGTTTGATTTGGTTTTGAGAAAGTTAATTGGTTTCTTTAGTACCAATTTATTCTTTAACTCCCTAATGTGTCTACTTTGTCACAGAGCCATCGTACTCCAGGAGCTGCTCCTTGGGGCATGGCAGAAGGTTCCTCTCCTGTGGGGTAGAACCTTAACAGTTCCCTCGCCTCTATGATCATGGTGCCTTGGGTCAAAGCTTCCTTGCGCCTGGTCCACTCCTCCCACATCCTTGCTTTTTAAGGGTTGGCCATGGCTTGGAAGGGATCTCGAAAGTGGTTTCTTCTGGTCCCAGCCTTTGGGGTGGCGGGACTGATGTGTTTTTTTTTTTTTTGTCCTGGATGTCTGTCTCAGGCAGGGAGGTTAGATAATGGCAGGGCCCAGGAAGCGACTTCTGTTACGAATTTTACTAATAAACTTAAGGTGAAATTTTCATTCACAGTTCTCCTGACACTAGAATATTAGAATTTCAGTACTGTAGTGCTCTCAGGACTTCCTGGAGAAAATGTGCCAGTACACTGGTCCTTTCCCTGCTGCCTAATCAGACAGACCTGGTACCACTCCTGTGAAATCTTTGTGGTTTACAAAGTCCTTTGGATTTCTTTATATTATCAGGGATATTCATAAGCATATATTTAAAAACAGACCTATTTTGATATTCTGTTCTGAAAATGTTACTAAATCTCAAATTATTATTTCCACTCTGCTCCCTCCCCACCAAAATCTGTGCCGAAGACAAAGCGCTATTTAGCTGAATTGTAGCTAACCCAGCAGCCATTGCCCTGTTTTGTAAGAGGCAGGCTCTCTGGAAGAGATTCCAAACAAGGCCGTAGACCACACAAATGATGAGTTTCTGTATATCAACTTCAATGTCCACAGCTAGTTCCCTAATGACTATGAGATCTTCCTTTGAAGCTCCTCATGGAAATGTTACCTAAAACCCTTTATTTGAAGGGAAGTCCTTTCACTTGGTATGGAATCTCTTTAAAACCTCTCAGTCTATGTGGAAAGCACCTTTTGATCAATATAGAGCCCTCAGTTGCTTTCTTCCGAAGGAATGAGGTCAGTCTTAAAAGTAGATGACACACTGAGGGCTGTTGGCACAAGGTTTTGAGGCATTGGGGCCACACGTGTATATTAATGCTCTTTTGTGTGTCTGCCAGGCATCATGTATATGGATGCCCCCCGATCCCTGAATGAGATGAACTAGGCCTATGACAGCCAAGACCTCAAAGGAATGGTACAGTGTCCACGCACTATTTTGTGTGTTAAACCTCCTGATAGCAGATCCTCACGGAGAATGCTGTGTAGAGCCTGAAGGTTGCATGGCTGCAGGAGATGCTTGGTGCCCTGAGCTGGCCTTGTAGGGGGCTAGGTTCGAAAGCTCAGGCTCTTTGAGGTTGTTTACAATCAATGGCTTGGGAACTTTTCTTCCAAGTCTGAGGATTTTTATACCCTTTCTGCAAGGTTGCACTACTTGTACCACTGTGGCCTGCTGCCTTCTCAGATGTCAGACTTAACTACCAGAAAGTTCCTTCCTTCCTGTGACAGGTGAGGACCACGTTTTGGAGGCGACCCATTACTGTGCAGCCCAACAGTGCCCATCACCCAGTGCTGAAGGGCTTGTTTCATGGAAGGTACTGTTCCTTCTTTTACAGTAACTGGAAAATCTCTTTTTCTACCTGTTGTTCACAACTAGTTTTCTTACTGACTGTATTGGACTGTCTCTTCTTGTAGAGACTGATTTTGGCCAAGACGTGGCAGTTTATATTAATGCATGTTTTATGCAAACCAAGAATATATTAGTTGCTTTTAAGGAATTCTGGCATTGTATGTGCATTTTTGTAGAAATTGTTACTAGACCTTTAATTACATACTTAACCATAATCAGGTTTCTGTAAAAATTTAAATAAATTCAAAATACTGGCTTCTCAGATTGCTCTCAGTCATATTTGAGTCTACATAGCCTCCCCCTGCAGGTTATAGCAAAGCAAGTGTGGTGTGAGTATGCCCTAATAGTGGCCTTTGTCATGGAACCCTGCTCTCAAAGCCCAGGGACAGCGTCAAGATACTCAGTGGTTCATTTCTCTCCAGCTGTTTATCAAATGCAGCCTGATCTGAGTCCTCCCAGCAGAGCTGCTTCACCGCCAGCTTGCCAACATGTCCTGTGAGGGAGGCTCCATCATTCCTGCTGGGTTCTCAGTGAACAGAACAAAGAAAGGGGCTCAGTTCCTGACCAAGACTGTGCACAGAATGATTCCTTGGGAGCTCACAGTCTAAGGGAAAGATGAGATACCTGCAGTGGTAGCCATTATTGCAAAAGTAAATATGAAAACAAACCAAAGTCAACTTAGGGGCCTATCCGGGACCTCCCTCCACCCCTCACTTCCTTGGAGATGACTCAGATGTGCAGTCATCAACCATGGTGACTTAAGCTTAGCTGTGGAGGTGCTCTGAGCTCCAGCTCTGCCCTGGAGTTGCGCATGCATCTAAACCCTTAGGACTGTATCATCAATGCCAGGGAAACTGCCCCTCTCCCGGCCTCTCTAGAGGGCCTGGTGGAGCAGAAGAAAACAGCAATGCTAGCAATTACAGGAGCTCAGAAGGGAGAAGACCAGACCAGACCCCAACCGAAGACCAGCACTGTCTAGGAAGAATGCGGAAGGCAGGAAAGGAACGTAGCAGAGGTCTGGGGTTGGTAAGGTGGCTCCCACTGGTGTCTTGAAGCTGCTACCAGAGGGAAGCATTGGTCAGAAGGGACATCCAACAGGTGGCGCTGGGACACCACCATTGGTTCCTCACTTCACCTGAACCAGTAGGCTGCATGCTTAGAACCACAGGATCACTGGGAGTGAAGGGACCTGAGAAATCACCCAGCCTCATCTCTCAGGGCAGGAGTCCCTTTCTCTTCAAATGAACCTTGTGAGGGACTTAGGGTGGTCTTGGCCACTCGGCTGCCATGTCTCCATGTTCTTGGGGCTGCTTGTTATTTGCCATCGAGTCGGACCTGACTCATGGCGACCCCTCCTTGGGTTTCTGAGGCAGTATCACTACGTGAGTATATTGCCCAACCTTCCTTCCAAGGAGTGGCTGGTGGGTTTGAACTGCCAGCCTTCTGGTTAGCAGTCAAGTGCCTTATGCACTATGCTACCAGAGTTCCTTGGGGCAGTGCCCCAGTAATCAGTGAGTTCCCCTCCATTTACTTGCCATGTGACCAGAGGCACACTGACCACCACCTTTCCCACCTGCTGGAAGAGATCCTGTAAGCACTAGGGGAGCCACCCTTAGGAGAAAGCCAACTAGGTCTTTGGTGATCAAGTGTTGAACGACTGGATCAAGCCTTACTTGAAGCTCATGTTGTCAGTAGACTCTGCAGCAAAGGGCACCTTTGTGGTCCTAGCTTCAGCTTTAGAACACTCAAGTGACAGTGCTCATCACTTCAGTAGACACTCGTTCCCAATTCTTTCAGTCCTCGATGTCTTCTATGGGGAAAGGCTAGATGCTTCTGGACTTCTCCATTGGCCTCCCATTCTTACCTATGCTCTGGTTGTCTCCCAGTGCTTCCTCTTGGGCAGGCGTGGGGGCTGTCATGGTGCTCTGTAGCCTGCTTGGCTCTGCTTTCCCTCACTGACTCCCCACACTTGGAGGCTCCCTGGGCTTCTCCTTGGCTGTCTTCCATCCTGCATGGAGCCTGTGGTTCTCCCTGCCCTGTTTCCCTCCCTCACGGCACAGCCTCCTGGCTTCCCTCTCGTCTCTTGAGGCAGGCCTTGTAGTGCCTAAGGCATCTGACTTCTAACCAGAGGCTGGCAGTTCAAATCCACCAGCCACTCCTCAGAAGGAAGATGGAGCAATCTACTTCTGTAGTGATACTGCCTTGAAAACCCAAGGAGGGGTCACTTTGTGTTGGATCCAACTTGACGAGGCCATGAGTTTTGGGAGCTCTGGTAGCATAGTGCCTAAGGCACTTGACTGCTAACCAGAAGGCTGGCGGTTCAAACCCACCAGCCACTCCTTGGAAGGAAGGTTGGGCAATCTACTTTTGTAGTGATACTGCCTTGGAAACCCAAGGAGGGGTCGCTATGAGTTGGGTCCAATTCGATGGCACATAACAACAGCAGTTCCATGAGCTGAGTTGAAAAGACAATCAACCCAGGTTATTTTGTTTCCTTCCACCCCGTGTACTTTGTGAAGCAAAGTAGGGGCCTGGAAAGCCCTGGGAGACCTCAGGCGCTCAGGTGAGCAGTAGCCTGTGTTCTACCTTTTCCTATGTCCTCTTTGGCCCCAAGTGGAACTCAGAGTGTCTCCACGGTTCAGAGGCCCGCTGAAGTGCCAAGTGGTGGGGTGACCATTGAAGGCCACAGCATAGCCCACATGTGGGGAAGGCACTAATAACACTTCTTCAGGAAAGCTTGTCCTCAGGCAGGGCCAGAGCCGTGAACAGAACTGGGCAGCCAATGGGAAATAAAGGAGTTGCCCTAGAATGAGTGAGGCACTTTTCTGTACAGTTTATTTACAAACTGGAGTCAAAAAGCACTAATTTGACTTCTGGTAAGATGGAGGAATAGGAGACAAACACAGACCCTCTTCAACAAAGAAAAGAAAAACCAATTGACAGAGATACAGAAGATAATCCTGGAACCCTGAGCTTTGAAAGGAACTATACAGAAGTGGATTAGGCACCAACTAGTGGAAAAACCTGAATGAAAACAGTGAGTACAGAGATGGTTGGAGCTGTAGACTCTCAGCTACTCTGACGGGACCAAC